TGGGGTTCTGGGAGTTCTTCTAGTCCCCAAGCCAGGCTTGCCTTGTGAGAGCTTGGTCCACCAGGCTGTTGCTTGGAGTGGCCCGCAGGCCCACATATCCACCACAGCCCGGTTGGTCCGGCACTCCTTAGAGAAAATTATCTAGTTTTCTCTTTAAGATGTCCACGGTTGTTCCGGCAATATTTCTTATGCTCGCTGGGAGGATGTTGAACAACAGTGGACCTCTGATGTTTATACAGTGTTCTCTGGTTGTGCCTGTGTCACCTATGGCCCCATACACACACCTGGTCGCCGCCGCCACCGTCGCCTGTGTCTCCTGGCCAATTCTGCCTCTTGCGTGCTCCGGCTCCAAGGCTATTTATACCATCATTTCTATTTTCTACTATCTTAAAGGAATGCAGAGCTAGCGCGCCCTGGAGTATTTTCATCCTTGACCTTTTGGCTGGCACTTCAACTTAAATCAGTTTCGCCCGTTTTTGTTTTGTCTTATAAAAGGTGTTCATCACATATTCGTATAAATGACTATAATGTTCAGGACAAAAGAGCAGCGTGTTGACCAGACCACACACTAGAATGTGAAGGGACGACGATGTTTCGGTCCGTCCTGGACCATTCTCAATAGACTTGAGAATGGTCCAGGACGGACCGAAACGTCGTCGTCCCTTAACCTTCTAGTGTGTGGTCTGGTCAACATACTTTAGCCACGTTATTGTGACTCATCGCCTCCAGCAGCGTGTTGGCGAGCTGTGGTCCAGTGATGACACTATTTTGACGGGTATGAGAATCAGAGCCAACATGAGCATCTGAACACAGGTGTTGAACACAGGTGTTTCGCAGCTGTTGCATAAACAACATCGCCCCCGCATAAAATGAGGTCTAAAAAGAGTAACAAAGAACAAACATAAAAGATTCCTAACAAGCAGATAAAGGAAAGTAAATTAAACAAAATCCAGTTTATGTGTAACATTAAGAGTCTAAACACTCACTGTCCTATCATAAAACTGGTTATCAGTTATCCGACCACGATAACCAAAATAATTAAATGTTTCGATATTAGACAAAAAACAATTACAATCAGATTACATGTTCAACGATCCCAATTCCAATTACTTCGGTACTGAAACCCTCTCCAAGAACTTCAACTATGGCAGTGTGAATGAACAGCCGGGCGAAACATTCGACACAATACTCCACTACGGGCTCACCATAGCCCGTGCTACTTGGATCTTTTAGTTCCAGGTAGCGAATCTTTAACAACGACAACATTCGACACAAGTGTGGTGGTGGGGTCAATGTCCCAAGTGTGTGGTGGGGGGTCAATGTCCCAAGTGTGGTGGTGGTGGGTCAATGTCCCAAGTGTGGTGGTGGTGGGTCAATGTCCCAAGTGTGGTGGTGGTGGGTCAATGTCCCAAGTGTGTGGTGGTGGGTCAATGTCCCAAGTGTGGTGGTGGTGGGGTCAATGTCCCAAGTGTGGTGGTGGTGGGTCAATGTCCCAAGTGTGGTGGTGGTGGGTCAATGTCCCAAGTGTGGTGGTGGTGGGTCAATGTCCCAAGTGTGGTGGTGGTGGGGTCAATGTCCCAAGTGTGTGGTGGTGGGTCAATGTCCCAAGTGTGGTGGTAGTGGGTCAATGTCCCAAGTGTGGTGGTGGTGGGTCAATGTCCCAAGTGTGGTGGTGGTGGGGTCAATGTCCCAAGTGTGGTGGTAGTGGGTCAATGTCCCAAGTGTGGTGGTAGTGGGTCAATGTCCCAAGTGTGGTGGTAGTGGGTCAATGTCCCAAGTGTGGTGGTAGTGGGTCAATGTCCCAAGTGTGGTGGTAGTGGGTCAATGTCCCAAGTGTGGTGGTGGGTCATCCTGCACATCATGGCAGACCTCGCCTATTTGTGCCTGCTGGATCTAGCTCTAGTCCTTGGAACCCGCTTTTCTAGCCCCTTGGTTGTCTAATGCCATGACCACCTGACCTATCTCCCTCTATCATACCTGCTTGCGTGCGTGTTCACACACGGAAAATACTCAAGGTCAGGGTGTGACATGCACAAGTCTTGTAGACTTTTTTTGTTAAAAGTCGAAACTTTCAGGCTAGTGTTGTCAGGTCCATCAGCAGGCTCTACCATCACCAAGATAAGCCTGACTTCAGGCCGGGTTCGGGAAGTAGAACAACTCTGGCAACGAACTACAAGTAACACAGATAAGCAACAATCCTTATAAACACCAATTTTGTGTGACGAAGCGCACACAAGTGAAAGATTGCAGGAATGAAGAAGCGAGTGAATGAGCGAACGCAGCCAGTGAATGAGCGAACGCAGCCAGTGAATGAGCGAACGTAGCCAGTGAACGCAGTGAGTGAATGAGTGAACGCAGCGAGCGGCGGCGGCGGCCCAGGTGTGGTGACGGTGAACAATGGCAGTTATTACTCTTGGCGCCTTCCCGCGGGCTATTCCTGCCCCCACCCAGCTCAAGGACGCCTATTTCAGGCGCTTTCATGGGGGGGGGGGGGGGGGGGGGGGTGCGGATGGATGGGTTAGGGGGGGAAGGGGTGAATTAGGAATGTGGGTGGAGGAATGAGTGTTGGGGATAGGGGGGGGGGGGAGGCAAGGGTACGCGAGTGAGGGCTGAGGGAAATATGCATAGAGGGATGGGAAATTCAGATATACACGTAGGGGACTGCTGGGAGGGAGAGAGAGGCGGGAGAGGTAGAGTGATGGCCAGCATCCAGCAGGTACAGAAGCTCCTTTTCATCCGAGTACAGCTTCCTCTCCGTGCACCTCCCATGTGTGCACACCTGCCACTGTGGCAGTGGCAGGTGTGGCCGCATGCAGGCCACACGTGCCACGTGCAACACCAGTGGGAGGGGGGGGGCAGGGTGACGAGTTCAACAGGTGGCACCTCTGCCCGAGGTCACCCCGGGGACAGGCGAAGGAGGATGGGAACCAACAACCATCTTCAATATCCTCCAGTTCAGTCAGCGTTTGAGTGGATGGTATTAGCTCACAGACCAACATTGCGAACGTTGTAGGAAACAGAACAGAACCTGGAACCGTCTCCAGCATCAGCGACATGCCTATGGGAGGAGGATGCCAGGAATGGGGTACACCTGAATAACTCACGTGTACCTGGTTGATGGGGTTCTGGGAGTTCTTCTACTCCCCAAGCCCGGCCCGAGGCCAGGCTTGGCTTGCGAGAGCTTGGTCCACCAGGCTGTTGCTTGGAGCGGCCCGCAGGCAAAAAAAACGCACCATAGCCTGGTTAGTACGGCACTTGTTTTTTAAATCTAGTTTTCTCTTGAAAATGTCCACGTTTGTTCCCGCAATATTTCTTCGGGAAATATTCTAATATTCCTCTACACTCCCGATGCCTATATACCGGCGACACCCGTCACCACAACAGAATAATCGCACATGAACCTCGGACCGGCGCCATCCCTTCCATACAGGTGCTACGGACAGGCGGCTTAACTGGCACTGTGCCATCACCACCCACCATCCTAGACACAGTAATGTCTGCCGATACTTCCACTGTGTTTAAACAGTCTGCGGAATTCTGTATGCGCTGGCAGGCCGAGCCGCGCATACAGAGCAGCATGACAAAACATATAAACTTAAAATAATCAGTTTATTGGCGTCGCGTTGCGGGTCTTAAACAAAGCACACCCGTATTAACACACCACCACTAGTCCACACTTTACCAAGTCAGGACAAACATATAAATTGTGACACTAGCTCTCCACATATGTCAGTTGCTTAATTTAGAACCTGTACTTGAGGTCGATCTCGAACCCATTGTTGATGTGACGACTTATATTGAATTTTGTAACTAGCTCATCAAGATTGTAACTTGCTTAGCTAAATGAATTGTGGGGTTCAGTCCCTGAGCCCATTATGTGCCTCTGTAACCCTTTCCACTACCGCCCACAAGATGGGTATGGGGTGCATAATAAATGAACTAAACTAAAAAACTAACAACACACACCAGGATGAGAGAGGGAAGGAGGCGGAGAGTCAAGGGACGTGAATTGGTGTCTACGGGGCTGAGGGCGCGGCCACGCCTTCATCCTCTCAACACGGCACACAGGCAGCCTACCTCATGGTTTGGTTTTTTACCTTTTTGAGGAGGCAGGGGGATGAAGATAGTGAAGTACAGGTAAACAAAATATTTAGAAATGCAATACAAGTTATCACAGGAGGCGGGCTGTCCGCCTTGCCGACACTGCTAGCCGAGCTCTCTTGAACGAGAGGATTTTAATCTGCTGCTTCTCTGTCTATTTTTTAGGGTGGGGGTTGGGGGGTTCTGGTCAGTATTTAATTTTGGAATTATGTATAGCGGGGCTTTGTTTTCATCGAGTAGATCCAAGCTCTTGGGCCACCAGCTGTGGGGGTGAGAGTCTTATCTTTGAGAAGTCTTTTCTAATATTGGGTCGTCTAAATTTTCTATCGGGGTACCACACCCTGGTGACTTGCTCTTGTAATTTGATGTTTAGTGGCTGTATGTTGATGAGTCCATGAACCTCCTGGAGTGTGTAATGGTGGACGGTGTTTGCCGAGTCCGTCCCCATGCGGAGGCTCCGGGGTCACCTTTCCTAAGGTTGTTTTTGCTTTTATTTACCCTGTTCCATTGGGCCTACCTCCTCAATGGCGCCACACTTGCACCAGCCCACCCACCCCTGGGCCCCTCCACCACAGGGGCCCCCCACACCCACCACCACCAAGGGGCCCCCCCACACCCACCACCACCACAGGGGCCACCCACCACCACCACCACAGAGGGCCCCCCCACACCACCACCACCACAGAGGGCCCCCCCACACCCACCACCACCACAGAGGGCCCCCCACACCCACCACCACCACAGAGGGCCCCCCCACACCCACCACCACCACAGGGGCCCCCCCACACCTACTACCACCACAGTGGGGCCCCCCACACCCACCACAGGGCCCCCAACACCCCACCACAGGGCCCCCCCCCACACCCACCACACCACCCCCCCCCCCACACACCACTAACCTTTGCAGTAGTCGAAGGGGTCTTCCTGCTCCTCGTCGTCGGAGCCCAGCACCTCCTCCCTCTCCTCCTCCTCCAGCTCTCGGTCCCGGATGTCGGTTCTGAAAGCACATCAAGACTCGTCAACAACCACCAGCCTACCTCCCCCGACGACACATCACAACACAGTACCACCAACACATTAACAAACACATTTCAATACACAAACACATCACACACAATGACACATTAACCGTCGGTAATATGGTGCATTAATTCAACGGGGGAAACATGTTACAATAATCATACAAGATTCAGACAGTTGTTGTTGTTATAGATTCAGCTACTGGGAACAAAAAAAGTTTCAAGTAGCACGGGCTATGGTGAGCCCGTATTGGACTTACCTGGCACAGGAGCGGTGCTGTGGAAGACTTCAGACAGTAAAGGATGTCTTCATCTTACCACCAACAGACCGGAAATCAAACATCCGGCGAGATGTAAGCTTCACCCCCCCCCCCCACCCACCCCACCCCCGGTTTACACACAATAGGTAGTAAGACTGTGGGCCAGACACACCGCTCACACGGGTACACGTTACCATTGTAACACAAACTGTTACGTTACCATCATAACACATATCACAATGTTGAGGAATCTGGACACTACTCGCTGATCTCCGTTACCAAGGGTTCACAACGGCCAACACCGTTGGCCGTTAGAGTAGTTAATAAATGGAATGTACTGTCCGAGCAGCCGCGTCTAACAGCCTGGTTGATCAGTCCAGCAACCAGGAGGCCTGGTCGACGACCGGGCCGCGGGGACACTAAGCCCCGGAAGCACCTCAAGGTAGCCTCAAGGTAGGTACTAGGCAGTGATGTGGTGGAGGCTGACTCCATGCACAGTTTCAAATGTAGATATGATAGAGCCCAGTAGGCTCAGGAATCTGTACACCAGTTGATTGACAGTTGAGAGGCGGGACCAAGGAGCCAAAGCTCAACCCCCGCAAGCACAATTAGGTGAGCACACCCACAACGGATCAATAGTTCATTCCTGCCTCAACTTCAACTCTTCCCCCAAGCAAAATTATTCGGCATTGTTTTATTTCTTTGAAGTATTACAATAGCTAATATATACAAGCAAATGTTCTTGCTTAAATGTTTTCATTTTTGTAATGTTTGAAATGTACAAGTTAAGGGCCATGGGCTAGATTCACGAAAGCACTTACGCAAACACTTACGAACCTGTACATCTTTTCTCAATCTTTGACGGCTTTGTTTACAATTATTAAACAGTTAATGAGCTCCGAAGCACCAGGAGGCTGTTTATAACAATAACCACAGTCGATTGGCAAGTTTTCATGCTTGCAAACTGTTTAATAAATGTAACCAAAGCTGTCAAAGATTAAGGAAAGATGCACACGTTCGTAAGTGCTTTCGTGAATTTGGCCCCATGTTTCCGCTCGAAGATGCATCTGGTAATGTGTACACCTTTACAAAGATTGATTAGTTAATAACTGATCTTGTGACAGTTGACGGCTCCATTACACATCATTCGTCTCCTTTCTGGGTTATGTTTACAAACCCATACTCCAAATTACATGTGAAGATAAGTACTGTGTATGACTAGTACTAATAACATCTGGACTACACCCCTGGCTGTAGAAGTACGACATTACCCCTCCCCCCCCCCTACCAAGCAAGGAAAGGTGGTCTTCACTAAGGGCTTTGAATAAAGAGTTTAGTTTGTAATACATTTCCTTGTAGCTGCTACACACAACCTCACAACGAAAGCTCGCTAATCATGAGCGCCTCAATGGGGTCCAAGTGTTTCCCGTCGGAGGAAATGGAGCGCATTAGCTGCCATGGTTACTGTAGAGGGAGCGTGGGAAGGAAGGTGGAAAACAGGGAGACCTTCTGTACCCTCTCTGATCATTTTTGCGCTACCGCTCACAGGATAAGTATGGGGTACACAATAAACTACCCGCCTCAGACGTAAAGAAAAAGAAAAGCTCTGTGAAGACAAAGAATTCCCAGGTTTTAGGTGGTGGTTACGCGTGTCTAGCTGTACACCCCCCCCCACCCCCCGTCCCTGAACCACCCTTGGTGTGTACCCATCTCAAATTAACGCCAAACATGCCTACATCAACACGAACCCTCTCTATATAAAAATGAACCAAAGGAAGCAAACGTTCAACTCGAAGAACGTCTTTTATTATATTTATGAGAAGTGCTGTGTTTCTGCATAATTATAATATATATATATATATATATATATATATATATATATATATATATATATATATATATATATATATATATATATATATATATATATATATATATATATATATATATATATATATATATATTAAACTTGTTTGACAAGTGAGTCAACGAGGTTTAAGCAAGTCTGCCCTCCTCGTTGGTAACATTTGGCGTTAACCAAGAACTGGCACAACCACTTTCACCTCATAAATATTAGCGACTACAAATATCCCACAAGACCCCTAGTGTGCACGGGAGACATCTCCCGTCACGCAGGGTGCAGTTGCACCTCCACAGCTCTTGATACTGGTAATGGCTCAAAAGGGCCACCACTTACGGGCTATTCATGCCCGTGCCACCTCTTGGGTGGCTTAATCTTCATCAATCATCAATCCCTAGTGTGTCTCCTCCCGCAAGAGCTCCACACCCTGATGCCCTCCACCTGCGTCATCTCCCAGTGGTTATCTTGAGATGATTTCGGGGCTTTTTTAGTGTCCCCGCGGCCCGGTCCTCGACCAGGCCTCCACCCCCAGGAAGCAGCCCGTGACAGCTGGCTAACACCCAGGTACCTATTTTACTGCTAGGTAACAGGAGCATATGGTGAAAGAAACTCTGCCCATTGTTTCTCGCCGGCGCCTGGGATCGAACCCAGGATCACAAGTCCAGCGTGCTGTCCGCTCGACCGACCGGGTTGCTGGCATGGGAGTCGAGGCTGGTGTCATTCTCATCAAGACATATGGTGTACATCTTCTGCATATTTAGTGGTCCACAGTTAACCAAGTCTTGATATGTTCTCAGCATTGTATTAAAATTTGTCTCTATCGTCGACGAATGTTTACTCTCCCTGAAGGAAGGAACTAATACAAAAGTCAATTTTGTGTATTTAGAATTTCCCAATTGGTATTTTGGTTTTCTTCTACACTAACAGGGTTTGAGAGTCAAACTACCCCGTGCTCACACACCACGTTCTCTTCACTTACCATAAAGTACATAGTATAAGGTGCTAATATAACCAGAAAGGTTGGCAGACCACTTAGCCTAGCCTACACATGTATAGAAAACGGGGATATTTATGAGCTGCTGCTTTTCAAAGTATTTTGTACCCTGCAGATCACAACGTACAAAATGAGACGTATTAGTTGAGAGGACAGGTTGTAACTATAGTACTTGTACTCGGGTATCGTAACAACCAATCAGAGCATTGATAGCCTTCACTACTTTCAGGGATTGCCAAGCAATATTTTATTTACATTACCATGTACCACTTTACATAATGGAGCTGATGAAGACGTCATCCAAGTTTAGATGTATTACGTCTAACAAGGTGGCTCTCTATAGAGCTATGACGTCATGTGTGTGACTCTGGGTCACGTGACCTGGTGAAGCCAATCAGAGTGCCAGTTACGTTATGCATCAGCAAGCCTATTTTTTTTAAATCAAATTTCAGCCACATGTTTTTGCGACTTATTATGTGCCTATTTTACTTCAACATACAAGAATTACTGCAGTTTAATGAGCTCTAAAATAACAGTGACGTTCCTGAACAGTGGGGAGCCAAGGGTCAGGAGAGGGTAACGGTGAACAAGCACTGACCTCAACTGTACAATCTAATATCTTTATTACTGTCATGAGCGGCAGTGACCATTACAGTCGACCTTTTGAGCGTGTAATTGTCAACACGACGCCCAATATACCAGGACTTGTCACAAGACAGTGCCTTATGGAAGAGTTACTACTGTCCACCTGTCCTGGGTGGCACTGAACAACAGGAAGTTGCATTTACAAATTCGTGGGGTAAAGTATGTATAATATCTGATGTAGAGTAATGATGTAAAACCTCATAAAATGGGACTGAATCTGCAATTTGGAACTTATGTCTTACGTGTGGCGGTGCATATAAGCAACAAACTCACTCCAGTAAGACTGAACAAAATTACCCAGATTACGCAAAACTTTATATTACTTTTGCCCAAGAAACATGTTAATAATAATGGTGTTTTGGTTAGTTGTTTTATCTCTACCTTCCTCACCCCCCCCCTCCCCTGCCCCCCCTCCCCCCTCAGTATCGCCCGGGCAGGTACCCGACCTGAACCATCGACTTTAAGCTCTCCGCTAGTAATGTAAGCAAGCAAGTGAGCTAAGTTAGCGAGCCGTAACTCTCCCACAGACCAACTGAAGCGTGCTACAGCGGCCTCGGAAAATATTGGCCCCTTGTAAAGTTTACCACGAATGTATAGTTGCTAGAGGAAACTTTTGTTACTGTGGCAGTGGTGATAAGGTCGGGAGTCCCACGCCTCGACTCCTTCCCGCATGATGTACTGGATGTATAGAACGTACACTCTTAAGACACACAGAAATCACACTAGCGTGATGCATCAACTCTTGATGGTTTCAACTCCTTTTACCCTGTCGTAGCTCAGTCGATTAAGACAGTGTCTGGGATGCTCCCGGACGCAGGTTCGAATCCTCGTCACGGCCCTTGTGGATTTGTTCATTTACACTCTTAAGCTTCGTGTTCCTCAGCATCACAACATTCAATTGAACTGGCTGATGGAGGTTGAAGATTTTGCCACCCAAGAGGTGGCACGGGCATGAATAGCCCGTAAGAGAACTGGCTGCGGTCAGGCTATTTATATTGCATACAATGTTATACCCACCTTGCGATGATTCCAAGGATCAACGTCCCCGAGGCCCAGTCTCTGACCAGGCCTCCTGGCTGGTCGTCTGAACAACCAGGCTGTTCGACACGACTGCTCGCAGCCTGACACCTAAACCACACACAGCCTGGTTAATTAGGTATCCTTTGAAGGTGTTTATGGAGTTCTCTTTTGAACACCGAGAGATCGGCTAATTATGGC